GAATGGCCCCATGTGCCGACTCAGAACAAATGGGGAAAAATCGTCAGGAGTTGGCAACTGCAACTGTGATGTGTTTGTGATGAATTGGTGGGATTTGTTGTGCAACAAATACGTTCTCGGATGTCATGTCTTTTCCTTCATCGTCCTGTGGTTGACCCCTTTTGGCGCTCTCCTATCGAACCAGGCGGACGGTATTGTGGAGAAGTTGACCGAGCAGCGGCAAGAGCTGCCTGGCTGAGCTCGAGCATGTAGACAGATCTCGGTAATCCGACATTCATGGCTTGTTCAGTCGGCCAGTCTCTATGGTCCGTTTATGTTCTTTATATATGCCCAGCGTTTTGTATAGTGGTCACATGGGGTCACTGTAGACCATTCACATCGTGTTCAGTGCAATGCTAGCTTCAAGCCTGGATGGTCGATGAATGAACTTCGGGAAAGTGCACTCCTACCTATCCCCGGCGATCCTTGGTGGCGCAAATATTGCCTACATAATACTGTTTGTTTGTTTGTGGTGAATGTAGATGATATTTTCTGGATCCTCTGGCAATTGTATTATATGCAATATTATGCAATTATATATAATGTACTAGATACAGTTCGGATGACTTGCAGAACGTGTTTCTTTTGAACTGGCCTCGGCAATCCCTCACGACTGATTCCTCTTCAAATCCCAGATATCAGATATGGTATGTTCATGCTATATACGTCCGTCCCTGTCATGTCCGTTGTCCATATTACACATCTGTCTAACGGCATTGGCACATCAAATCTTGGGGAATTCAGGGGAAGCAACCAACAATAGAATTAGCAGATACCGCACACCTTTTTGTAAGAGCAGATCCAGCAAAGCCCAAGCAACATTCAAAAGTAGAGCACAGAGAGGCACAGAAAAGTTGCATACAAAAACAAGAAGTACAAACAACAAATTCACGCAGACTGGAACGTAACAAATTCAGCAAATGCTTGCTGCTGTTTGAATTCTTGGCTGCCGATGGAGAAATCTGGAAAACAATGACTGACAATTTCACTCCACGCGATACAGTGGTTTCAGAGTAGATGGCATTGGCACCCCAAGATGTCTTAGACAGATGCGCTCCACATCAACCACCTACCTTGGGGTACTCCCGTGAAGACATGCAGCAAAGAATGCTCATGCAGCAGCTTGCTGTTCAACAGCTGCTGCTGTAGCTGTTGCTGTGGAGGTGAACCTGCTGCTCCGGCCAAATGCTTCGCACTGTGACTCACGACTAGCTGGCACGGCTGGATTTGTTCTTGCAGCACTGTTTGTTCAACATTCATGCCAGTCGTCCAGTGCAATTTGAGAAACCCGTTGCATTGAACTTGAAACATTAAAAACAAAAAACAATAAACATCATTTTAGTATATATTTGAAAATGGGTGCAGAAGAAATGGGTTTTCCCAAATCTTTCCATGCACCTTGTTTCTCACTGTTTGCTATTCAGTTAGCAGTTTGATGGAGCCATGTTGCCTGATTCAAGTTTCTAGCTGGTACATAAAGACCTCTCGTTTTGGCCGATTGCGCATGGCGTCCTCAGGAAGTTGAATCGCTTGCGCGTGGCGGAGCGGGAGAAGGAGGCGGAACACTGGTCACCAACATCGCCGCGTATCGCCGCGTGCTTCACGGGACCACTCCGTCGACCCGAGCTCGTGTGCCCGGCCCGGACCGACCCCAGTGCGACCGGCCTCGGTCCGGTCGCGGAGGCGTTGGATGGACCCCGGAAGGAGGCGGAGGCCTGGGTCACCGGCGAGGCCGAGCGCTTGGAGCTCCAGTGCCGACCTGAGATGCGAAGGACGAGATCGGGATGAGATCGGGACGAGCGGGAAGGACGGGTGCGGGTCGGATGGGGGATGAATGATAATTTTCTTATTGGCTTGCGGTTTGGTCGCGAGAAGTGTTCGTGAACAGGTGTTAAAGAAACCATGTCAACAAGTGCGCGGGATGTGCTGGGGGTGGCGCAAGAACACTTATTTTAAAAAAAACGTGTGTCACAATGGGCCAGTTGGTCCCAAAGATCATGAGTAGCGGAGTGGAACGCACATTATTTGAATGCTAGTTATAGTTAGGCTAGCTTATACATGTCGAGTGGCAGGCCAAGTGGGACTGTGGGGTTGTGGATGGACCGACTGACAAAAAGACATATGTTCTGCACTGGTTCGGCTGGCTCCGAGCAGCTCACCCTTTTGGTCACGGATTTGCCACTGCCTGCCTTGCCTTTATCAGAGTTTGCCCCAGGTCCATTGTGGCCCCGGTGCTTTGCAAATCTCTTGCTCGAAAATTGTGTTAAACAGGAAAATTCACAAGCGCAAAATGGCCTGAAAGGGCGCTGCCACACAGCACACTGAACTACTTCCCAGCTCCAAAAAAAGAATCAAGTTTTTGACTCTTCGAAGCTGCTGTTGCTTTTGCCTTTGCCGTTTGCTTTCTCTTTCTGCTGTCACCTGCTGCGTTCTCAGCTGCTGGCTTTGGCTGTGCCTTGGGCCGCTTGCTCTTGGCAGCGGGCGGTAGTGGCGGCTTGCCATTGCCCTCAGTCTCTGGAGCCTCGGCTGGCTTGCCATTGCCCTCAGT